TCCAACTTTATTCTCCTGCTAGTGGATACAATTGTCCCAGCACCATTCATTGAAAAAATTATTCTATTGAGTTTTAAAATTATCATTTTTAATTTACAAGAGCTTCAGAATACTTCTTTTTTATAGCATCCCATTCATAATTCAAGATTGTGATATTATCCCTTAACGTCCCTTTGAGAATGTTGATGGTAGAACTCCCCGCCAAGTTTGTTTCCTCCAAGTGGCCATTTGGGTCTCTCTCATATCAGACCTTTCCTTAGATGCTTCAAAATTCTATTGATATTTAAGGGTAGGGATCCAAAAAGCTCAATGGGTTTTACTGATTGTGAGCTTGAATGAAGGGTGATCTGGTTGCCCAGTCGAATTGGGAAATCTCTGATGTCGGTTGCTCTGCTTCTCAGGCTAGTCAGATTCCCCAGAACAGTCTTTCCAATATCCTGCCTGGAAGGTGGATGCCCCTCTTGCCAGCATTCTGGGAGCAGAGTAAGGGGAGAGCTCATGGATCTCAGCACCGATATGCACATGTTTATTTAATTTATTGTCAGTTTAGTAGTTCTCCCCTCCAGTGGTATGCCCTAGTCCATAGACCCTGTGGTTTATTCTTCAGAGACTTGATCTCAAGTTTTCCTTGAGGTCGAGCACAGCATGAGGGAGAGGATCTGGGTTTCTGACTGCCTTTGAAGTAGATTTTCAATCCTTCTTACTTTAGTACCCTCTTTACCCTCACTCCCAAAGGGTAGGTGGCGCCACCAATTTCTCAACATTTGGAGGCATTTAAATCTGATTGGCTTTTCTTTTTTCCCATGGCTCTTGTAAGATTCTGTTTCCGCAGGTCTCCTAAGTCATTAATCCTCAATCTCCTGCTTTCCAGCTTCTAAAATGTTATTGCTCTTGTCTCTTCTCCTGTTCTCCCTTTTCTTGTGGGTTATATCTTTTGAAAAATTCGTTTACTGTTGTTTTAGTGAAGTTCGGGGAGGGAGAAAAAAATACATGCATATGCCTATTCTGCTATCTTTACTGGAAATCTTTGTTTTTTTCTACGCCAATTCGATCTCTCTTCTGAGCTCACATTCTCCCGAGTAGTGGGAGAGTACTCACTGTGTCAGTTAGGGTTTCCTCAGTCACTTCAGGTCTCCTTACTCCTTAAGTTTGCCTCTAAGTTCTGGGCTACTTCTATAGGACCATAGGGTCAGCTGGGGATCAGAGTGGGTGGGAGGTGGTGGATAGCTTTGATTGTTATCATGTAGTCACAGTAGTATCCATGGCGACCACTCATCATTCACGTGGCCCCTGGTTAGTAGCCTATGGAGATCATGTCTGCAATCTTTCCATCCCAACTCTAGGTCTCCAGGCTTGCAGGCTCTCAGCAGTGTGTGAGCAGATTTGATGAGGCAGGCTCAGGCCTGTCCACCCACGTGGCTGTCTCTCCTGCCTCTGCACCATGCTGGGCATGAGAGAATTTTGTGACCTTGCCTACTCTTGGCTCCCAAATCTTTCTGAAACAATATTGTTTCCCTGCACAGGGGACTCAGCGTGCTTGAGTCTATTGTTGATGCATTGATATTATGTCCTAAGTCCCTCCCAGTTCTGGATTCTGAGGTGTAAAAGCTCAGGTTATGATATCTCAAAAGCCACTTCTCCAAAACTATCATTTCTGCCAAGAGTTTCTAAAACCTATTTAGAAACTCAAAAGTTAATAGTTGATTTCTCCCTAATTTTCCATGATGATATTCTGAAGCTTTAAAGGTGGAATGCCCTCGCTACTGGCTGGGTAGGCCTAGAGTAGGGGGAGTCAGGAAGTAACTGCATCACTATTAGGCCTTTACGATAAACTCTTTTTGCTCTGTTCATTACCTTCTCATGTATGTAAGATTTGCCTTTTCACCTGGATGTTAGGTTTGTTGAAGGCAGAACTGCACTTAGAAAGCCTTTTTTTATGGAAACAGCAACATTTTCTTTATCCTTTTCAATGTGTTCGGCATACAGTAATTACTTCACAGATTTGTTGAAGACCTTTAGCTTTGTAATCTTTATGGAACACAACTGTGCCTAGAATATAGTAAACATTTAATTGATTTAGCAAATTATTTGCTAAATAAATCTGGAATAGTTCCAAAAAAGAAAAATAAACATTTACAATATTACCCTTATACAATTAGAAAAAAGGAGGAACAAATTTACCTGAGAAATAATAACTACATGAATGTAAAAAAGATGCTAAAATTTAAATTTAAAAAAGGACCTTTATGTATGGTTAAAAAATAATCCTTCTTTTCTGATTTATCTTTTCAGTTTGAGGCTCAAGTTTACAGGTCCTGGGTTTTAGAAGCCCAGCCCTCGAGGCCCAAGACCAAGTTTCCTCGCCTGTTTCCCCAGTGCCAGGAATGCCAATGCATTCCTTTTTTAGAAAATGCAGCTGCTGGTTTCTAGCCTATTCTAGCCATTCTAGACTTCGGTGAGAACTGCTGAGGGGGGAGAGGGGGAGGCAGGTGTAGGGAAAGCCCATAATCAAGAAAGCTCATACTAACTAGGGTAGGCATAAACACGTTAGTTGGGCACAGAGACATTTCCAGGACATATTGTGAGAAATGGGAAGGTTAAAGAAAAAAATCCATTCTGGGGCTCAAAGGTCGGGGAGGCTTTGTGGTCCTTCATTATATGTTGAATGTTATTACGAATTAATTTCACTCCCTGACATTGTTGTCAATTATTTAATTCAAATTAACAATTTTTTTTTTTTTTTGAGACAGAGTCTTGCTTTGTCGCCCAGGCTAGAGTGCTGTGGTGTCAGCCTAGTTCACAGCAACCTCAGACTCCTGGGCTCAAGCAATCCTTCTGCCTAAGCCTCCTGAGGAGCTGGGACTACAGGCGCATCACCATGCCCAGCTAATTTTTTCTATTTTCTTAGTAGAGATGGAGACTTGCTCTTGCTCAGGCTGGTGTCGAACTCCTGACCTCAAGCGATCCTCCTGCCTCAGCCTCCCAGAGTACTAGGATTACAAGTGTTAGCCACCGGCCCACAAATTAATGAATTTCTTTTGAGTCTCTCCAAAATGCAAATAACTGTGCTAGCTCCTAGAGATAAAATACAAAGATAAGTAAGATACAGCTCTCGTTTTTAGTAGAACTTGCCACAAGTTTCCTCATTATTTTTCTCATAACCCACTAGTCATGTTGCTCTCTAATCTGCAACTTCTCAATCACTATTCATCTCCTATAGGGCAGAATGTAAATGCCTTTGCCTGACTCCCAAGGTTCTTCATGATCCGATTCCAGCCTATTTTCGCAGCCACTTCTGCTGGTGCTCAGCTTCTTGGTATGTGGTGAATAGCCGATGCCACCATGTTCTCTTACAACTCCGTGCCTATGGCTGGAACTCCTGCTTACTCTTTGCCATTCAGCTGAAATGTCACTTTCCCTATGACACATCCTGTGACTTCTTCCTCTTTGCTGCAGGCTAAGTTAGGGGCCCCTCTTTTGTACTTCCTTTGTGCCTATCACTGTTATAATCCTCAGTGATATAATATTGGAATTGTTTGTATCCAGTTTATTTCCTCCCATAGTGGGAAGCTTCCTGAAGGATGGGACTGTGTCATTTTCATCTTAATATCTCCAGCGCATGCCACAGTCCTGGTACACAGCAGGCACACAATCAGTAATGGTTTGGTGAATGAATTAAATGAATTTGTTCATTGCCCTATACTTTGTTGCTATAGCAACTGCCAATTTTTAAAATTCTAGTCTTCTTTTTCTCCATTGTTACTCATCAACTCTCTTTCCAGAATGCTGTCAGAAGGGTATCTCAGTGGACTTGCCTACTGGAATGATATCCATTGGAGTTGTGCATCATATAATGAACAGGTGGCTGGAAACAGGGAAGAGGAGACAAATTCTGTTGCTGCTCTTTCCTATTCCTCTGTGGATGAAACACAAGTCAGAAGTCTCTATGTGAGCTGCAAATCCTCCGACGAGTTTATTTCTTCAGTGCATTCAAGAGAGAGCCAACGTAGCACAAGTCAGAGAGTCACAGTGCTGCAGACAAACCCCAATCCTGTGTTTGAAAGCCCAAACTTGGCTGCAGTTGAAATATGTAGAGACCCCAGCAGAGAGACATACTTGGTTCCACCTTCCTGCAAAAGTATTTGCAAGAATTACAACGACCTACATATTGCTGGGGGCCAGGTGATGGCCATTAATTCAGTGACTACAGATTTTCCCCCTGAGAGCAGTTTTGAATATGGACCTTTGCTAAAGTCGTCTGAGATTCCTTTGCCTATGGAAGATTCCATTTCCACTCAGCCCAGCCACTTTCCCCAAAAACCTATCCAGCGGTATTCATCCTACTGGAGAATAACCAGCATCAAAGAGAAAAGCAGCCTGCAAATGCAGAAGCCTATTTCTAATGCAGTGTTGAATGAGTACCTAGAGCAGAAGGTCGTGGAGTTATATAAACAGTACTTTATGGACACCATGTATCATGACAGTTCTCCTACCCAGATTCTGGCGTCTGAACTCATCATGACCAGTGTGGACCAAATCAGTCTTCAAGTGTCTAGAGAGAAGAACCTGGAGACCTCAAAAGCCAAGGATATAGTCATTAGCCGCCTATTACAGTTGGCGTCAACTGAAATCAGCACTCCTAGTCTCCATATTTCTCAGTATAGCAATGTAAACCCATAGAGAGCGTGCTTCCATTCCTGTCTCTCATTTACTCAAACCCAAAGCAACACTTTGTTCATTGATTCTGAGAATGTGCAGGAGGGGGTGGTGAAGGGGCGTTAAGAGTTTGAGAAGTAAAGGTCGGCTGGAAGTCATGTGTGAATTAAGGGGAAATCTTATAATATTACACATGTTGAAGGAATGTGGGAAAAGGAGCCGTAAGGAATGATTTCAAAGAGAGGTTTGTACAGCAGTGAAGCAAAAATAAAAATGATCAAAAAAGAAAAGGTTATGATTCATTTGAAGGAATATAGAAACTGAAAAAGATGATAAGCCAAGTAAGAAAGAAACACACTATGGCAAAACTAAAAAACCAGAAGGTTTCAGGGTAAAGAGTTAAGAGTATGTTTGTTACCCAAATAAATTCCTCTAAGTTGTTTTTTCTCAAGGGAAATGGACTGTAGAAGGCTGCTATATTTGGGTAGAAAGACAGGTTCAAAACACTTTAAAAAATATATGTTTATATCTCTTATCTATTCTGTATCAGTAGATCATATAAAGATATTCTTTGTAAATATTAAAACTGCAGCAAGTTGCAATTGCGTTTTTATTTTTATATGATTATCTAGCTACAGCTACAGCCACAAAACAGCCACTCAAATCTTCTACTTCTGTTTACTGGTGGAGATGTAGTTTTCTAAATGGAAAATACCACATAGTAAACATTAAACCACTTAGTTTTATTTTGCTGTGTATGATTTTCTTGGTGGTATTAAACTTCAAAAAAAATTATGAATCTTATTTTTTCCCATTTTTTTTCTCTTCCTTTTCTCCATGCCCTCTTGACCTGGGGTCTTTCATAGCCTCAGAATAAGGTTACAAGCCCTAGAGTCCCATTATATCAAATTCTGTAAACTCATTCACTAGAATGGTGGCTTCACAAAGGATTCACTGCTCTACCCTTTTCCTCTAACTCAGGGGTTGGTAAACTAAGGCCCATTGGCTAACAGTAGCCTGCTGACTGTTTTTGAACTCCCATGAGCTAGAAATGGTTTTTCCATTTTTAAATGGTTGAAAAAAAAACAAAATTAGTACAGTATTCTGTGACATGAAAATCATATAAAATTCAAATTCACTGTCCATAAAATAAAGTTTTATTGGAACACGGCCATGACCATTTGTTATGCATGGCTGCTTTCCCACTAGAATTGCAGACTTGAGTAGACGTGACAGAAAACATATGGCCCACCAAAGCCTAAAGCCCTTACTATCTGGCCCTTCACAGAAGAATTTTGCCCACCCAGCTTGATAAGAGTGCCTCGTCCGTACAGTGGTTGCTTGGCTTAATTCAGGTTCACTGGGGAAGTGGACTCTGAGATGAAGATTGGTGAGTAAGTTTCTTGAGCCGCGGTGTTAGGGTCAATGTCTGTGATGGAGTGAAGGAAGCAGAAGAGGTTTACACAGAGGCCTCAGCCCATCTCACAGGGAGCTCTGGAGCTAGGTGATCCTTCAAAATGGTTACAAATTGAAACAAGAGGTGGACTTTTGTACTCCAGCATCTACCAGGAGTGGGTGTAAGTTTAGCTGAGGCAGTTCGCTGGAGGACGATTCCCAAAGTGGGAATAACTGTGAGTCCTCAGCAACCATATTCCAAGCAGCTGCTGGGGGGATGAGCTCCTCACCCCGAAGGAGCCATACGGGAAGAGCAATCCTCTACATTTCTCAGTATTTGTATTTGTAGAGTGCATGAATATGCATTTTTTGAATTTTTTTTACAACTTTATTGTGTAAGAAAACCTGATTTTGAAATCATTATTAAAAATGTTATTCATTGCTTTAAATATATCACAATAATAGCTGCAACGTATTGTTCATTATGTGTCTAGCATCATACGTTAAGCATTTTGCTTGAATTATCTTATATAATCCTCGTAATAACCTTGTGAGAGAGAAAGTAAATTATTATTCCCTTTTTACAGATGAACAAGCTGGGCTCAGGGAAGTTAATTTGTCCAAGGACACAGAGTAGGTGGTAGAACTGGGTTTGAATCCAGTTCCATGTAACTTGAACACCCTGGGTCGTAACTATAATACTGTCACCTGCTTTCTCCTGTCGACCACAGCATTTGTCTCATTAAAGACTGTTTTTCTACTCCAAGGGAAGTCAACTCATTAATTTGTATGTCATATTTCTTTATTTTCCCTTTGTAGTGTTTTGCTTCATATACTATTTTTTTTTTTCTTTTTTTGAGACAGAGTCTCACTCTGCTGTCCTGGCTAGAGCGAGTGCTGTGGCGTCAGCCTAGCTCACAGCAACCTCACACTCCTGGGCTCAAGCGATCCTTCTGCCTCAGCCTCCCAAATAGCTGGGACTACAGACATGCGCCACCATGCCCGGCTAATTTTTTCTATATATTTTTAATTGTCCGATTAATTTCTTTCTATTTTTTAGTAGAGACGCAGTCTCACTCTTGCTCAGGCTGGTCTCGAACTACTGACCTTGAGCGATCCTCCCGCCTCGGCCTCCCAGAGTGCTAGGATTACAGGTGTGAGCCACCGCACCCAGCCATTCATATACTATTTATTTGCACATACTCCCACCCAGAACATAAGCTTTGATTTATTCACGTTTTTCTACATCCCAGACATTACTTGCACATATTAGGCAGCCAATTACTATTCATTCCATGGATAAATAAGTTTTGGTCACAATGGATACTGCATCTGGTGGTGGAAGTAAAAGACCATCAATATGAAAACCAGATAAATCTACTAGAAAAAAAAGTGCTATTGAGGTTTTCTCCTCAAGGAGTAAATTAACTGAATAAATGAGCTTAATTTATTATAGCAGGTGAGTAAATTATACAATAAAATATCTTATAAGAAAATATTATTATGGTTATTTTCCTTTGCTTCCTGAGAAATAATTTGTTACAAAGTAGACTGGTTCATTTTTTTCATTGAGCACCTATTTGATGCTGTTTTTTTTTCTTTTATTTAGAGACAGGGTCTTGCTATGTTGGCCAGGCTAGAGTGCAGTGGCTATTTGCAGGTGCAATCATAGCGTACTGCAACCTCTAACTCCTGGCCTCAAGTGATCTTCCTGCCTCAGCCTCCTGAGGAGCTGGGACTACAGGTGCATGCCACTGTGCCTTTGTTTTGTTTTGTTTTGTGTTTTGTGCTAGATCACTGTGTATTAAGCCTATGAAGAAAAGACACTGTGTGTGTACACATACAGGAGTAGGCCCTGTTCTCTGCAAGCTTACTATATTGTTGGAGAGACCCAAAAGATAACTAGGGAACAAGTAATGGAGCCACTTGTTAAGTAAGAACTTGGCAGAGTGGTAGAAACAGGAATAAGATTATCAGTGATTGCAACTCAAGTGTTATGAGTGCCGAAAAGGAAACATGGTAGGGGGTGCTAAACAGCGGAGGAGCCCAGTGTCGGCCAAGCTTCCAAGGGGAAGTGATAGTTTAAATTACTCTTGAAGAAGAAGATAGGATCTAGGCAGACGGATGGGACTGGTGTTTCAGGCAGAGGTGTGAGTGTGTATGGTGCAACAAGGAACCACAAGTCGATGGCTGTAATTGGAGCTGAATGAATGCATGAATAAGTAGGATATCAATTTGTTATTGCTATTGTAACAAATTACCACAAGCTTAGTGGCTTAAAGCAACACAAATTTATTATCTTACAGTTTTGGAGATCAGAAATTCAAAATAATTCTCACTGGGCTAAAATCAAGGTGTGGGCAGGACTGCGTTCCTTCTGGAAGCTCTAGGGAAGAATCTATTTCCTTGCCCTTTCCAGTTTCTAGAAGCTAGGATTACAGCTGTCAGCCACCACGCCTGGCCTGGGACATTGTTTTTTTCCTGCCTTTGTACTCAAACTGAAACATCAGCTCCTCCTGGGTCTTGAGTCTGCCAGCCTTCGGACTGGAACTGCAGTCAGCAGCTCTTGGGACTCATCACCTTTCGTAATTGTGTGAGCCAATTCTTTATAATAAGTCTATCTATCTGTCTATGATCTATCTATCCTATTGGTTCTGTTTCTCTACAAAACTCTAATAGAAATATTAAAATTATGACATTTTCCAGATGCCTTCCTGAAAACAGGATACATTTAAGTCTATGGCCTCTTCTTGAGCTATCAGCTTAGTGACCCTATCAAAAAGCACAATGAGCTTGGTGTGGCATAACTGGTTCTTATTGTACCACTCAGTGATTAGTCCTTGTTTGTAGGCACTCACCCAACATCCTTTTAACAACCTGTTTAGATTTTCTCTTGATGAAGGCCAAATTCAGGTTGTATATTTTTCAGATCTTAACTGTATCCCACACTTAAACAAATTTGGACGTTTAGTTTCTCTAAACTTCTGACACTTCCCTCATTCTTCTTTACACATGGAGGAGGATTGAAGTGGTTGAGCCATCGTATTGGTTAAGAACTGATGATACCTTGGATGGTAATGTGCCTGAGTTTGGAGACTTTAATTCATTGAAAGTGGCTTTAAGTACACATATATACATAGTTTTGTATGTATGTATTTTAGTACTTTTAGTATTGCAAATACTTTTTAATCATTTTTTTTCTATTTCCTTTGATTGGAAGATCATTCTTCCAAATACAGTTAAACTGTATGTTCAAGGTACTTTACATCTGTTTGTTTTCATATAGACTTGATTATACTGATTTTATCAGGTGAGAGGGAGACAGTTTATTCATGTACTGGCACGTGAAGTTGAAATCACATTGTGGAAACACAAGCAGGAAAGCAATGTTTCCATTTTAACGAATATCATGTGGTGCAAGTAAATATAGGATAGCAATTATCTTCTTATGTTAAGAAACATCACTTTTATGATAAATGACATAGATCAAACAAAAATAAATATATGTCATTCTGAAAATATTTAGAGCTGCCACTAAAATAAACTTCTCAAAATTATTAAACAACATGAAGGCACGGTTCCTTAGAAGTTTTGACCCACTGCCATCAGTCCTCCTGAGCCACAGTTTC